GTCATGACCTAAAACACACAAGCATGTTAGGTGATCCAATTTTGCTTTTCAATGCAGCATCATTTTCCAATCATTCAACTAAACTGCAACTGATTGAAATGCAACAGAGTACAAATGGTTGCATTCTCCACCATTCAACTCAATTGCAATTCAGAAATGTGTTGCGATATAAAACATTTAGAAGTGTAAATATCAAACCTGTGCCTCCCAACGGACATGTCTCTAAATTCTAGATTTGACTGGTATGTCCACACTTGAGATAACAACATAAATTTAACTTTACAACTTTTAATACTTTAAACTAGTGCTTAACTTTTTCTTTTAATGTCTCATTTCTATTTCAAATGACGTTTTTACATGCTTCATATTAACCAGGCAATGAGTTATTCTAATAATCCCCAAGGTGTTACATATCACTTAATTGGGAATTGAAAGCAATATTCTGAAACCTTATATACTAGTATCTTCCTGTTGATTTCTGTTACAGAAATTTCAATTATGTAAAGAATCAGAAGTGAAATCCTTCAGCTTTCTGTTACACCTGACCTACTATTGCTCAAGTACAGTTAAAGTATCCTGAGAATAATATTCATGATAGCTTTCATTTGTATCTTAATTGCATCACGGTAAAGTGGAAAATGTAGAGATTAAGAGCATAAGGTTTATAATTCTACAGTAAAAATGAAGGCAAATTAAATGCAGTAAGAGCATATCTGCAAGTCTACAAGGAAAATTATAACCCAAGACGCATGGGGAAAAAGATTTATGTGGAGTTTTTAATCCATATTAGAATTCAGTTGTAACTTGACCATCAATTTAAACAGAAACCATCTTCTGAGACATACATTCTAATAAATGTATCAACAGTACTGGTAGTCAACCAAGGGTCAGTTATTTTAACTTAATAACATTTCTTTTTTCTATCCAATAAAATCTATAGTGGTTTGCCCCAATTACATATCTGAAACAATGTCTTATTAAAACAAAATGAGACAAAATTAAATGAAAGATAAAAATACTCTGACGTTATTAAAAATAAAGCAAACTATAATCCTTGGCAGATCAGGTAAAAAACATTGGTGGAAGTTGGAAGCACGGGATAACTGACATGAATCTTCAGCACAAAGCACATCTTTAAAAACATGAAACGATGACTCTTTGGAGGACAATAGCTAGATATCCAAGAATCATCAGGTTTGAAAAATATTGCTTAATCACTTTCCAAAACACAGTTAGCTGCAAGAACCGAAGATCCTGTTAAAAAGATCAAGGTAATCATATTTATTGCATCTTTAGAATGCATTTCGAAACAGAAAATTAACATGCACCTCAGCTTCACCAAAATATATATATTTAAGAGGGGGAACCTACAATATTTTATAAACAAAGTGTAGACTATATGTGCTTTTCAAAGGGGCTGAATTAAATATAACCAGCTGCCAATGTTGTGCTCTAACATACTTGAATTAGTGGGTATGTGTATGCTAAATTCATTTATTTTTGTCAACAATAAATGAAATAAAAACACTGCCCTATACAATCCACTATCAGCAGTGAATACAACAGCAAAAAATTATTGTACAATTTATACATACTAAAATATTTTCTTCCTCTAGAGATAATGCAGAACAAAACCTATCATTGTAAGTCTTAATTTGGGAAATCTCAAATTACTATAGGGAAAAACCAAATCAGGGTATGTATTGAGCCCAAAACAAAGGTTCCTGGTCATAAGGCTATAAGATTATAAGTGCAAGTGGTAGTAGAATAAAGCATGCTCAAATTGTATGCTCGGGTCGTTATATATTTATCAAACCTTTAAATTAACAAGACTAGCTAAAGAAATGCCTTAAGCATAGCAAGATAATTGGGAATCGTGTCACTTCCTTTACCATTTTTGTTACCCAACTTATACAATGCGCAAAGTGCTAAGCAACACTACAAAAACACATTTACATCAACACTGAAAGACCTGGGGAAATGAAATCCAACAATTTTATTTTAATGAGCGTGTATTTTCTAAATTTTGTTTTATTTTTTCCTGTTTTCATACAGTATTGAAAACAAAACGCGGCACATTCACATTTTCCCGAGGAACTGTAAAGATGATCTCTACAGGGATAAACGTTGTAAAGCCTGAAGCTCAATCAATTGATGTTGAAAACTCTCAAAGGAGTAAAGGCTTGATCTGAATGGTCTAGAACATGTACTGTAATTTAATAGAAGAGATGGTCGTCTTAATATTTAATGATTTAAAAGAACTTCCCAGTCCATGCGAAGAATACAGTCCAAGAATAAATCAAATTTCTGGACGCATTTTATGCTACATATGTGTATACTTTGCGATCCTCAGGTGTTCGTGCCAAGTATTCTCTCTCAATAAGTCCTTCAATACGCTTCTTAATAACAACTGGACTTGGTAAGAATCGAGCCTTCAATTGCTGAGTTACCTAAAATGGAAGGCAAAACAACGATTTCTCACCAGAAAATTTAAAATACATAACATTTTCATATTAACACAAAAATTCTTATCTTTGAATAGAACTGATGTGTCACTTTAAGACTCAGATCAAACTTTAGTATAATCTGATTACCTCCTCACATCAGAATGTGAATAGTACATTAGATTAAAATTAATGGAATATATCAATCAGTATGATGTATACCACCTACTACTTAACCATTTTTACTTCTGGGATATCCTCCCAACTCACAGAATTTGAGTAGCATGTGTGTAAGAGCACAAACTCTAAACCCAAACTGCCTGGACTCAAATCTCAGCTGACTTACTAGATCTGGGACACTGGGAAAGCTAATGCTCATGAAGTTGCTGTGTATATGAAATGAGTTAACAGATGTGATGCTTTAGTGTCAAGTGCTGCTGTTGCCATTATTTTTTCCAACCAAAGAATTGTGTGGTTATAAAAAAACAGTTAACTATATAAGCAGCCAAAGTCTTGACTATGTATCAGGCGTTTTGTATATATTCTAATGTAATGCTCTTAGCCCCATAAAGTAGGTTGTCTAATTTTTTCAAGTGAAGAAAATAAGCCACAGAGGAAAACTGAGATCAACAAGTAGTAAACTGAGCCAGTAGTTAGAGAACTCACACCGCTCTGCCCCAAGTCCATGCTTTCCCCAGGAATCCACTGGCCTCCCTTGCAGAGCACTCATCCATAAGTTATTATTTTTATTTGTTTGTTTGTTTTTTTACTCCTGCTGGATAAGCTCATTTCCCAAGGCCAGTGAATTGATAATCCTTTAAAGTTTGAAACTTCAACTGAAACCGGTTTGGCTCAGTGGATAGAGCGTCAGCCTGTGGACTGAAGGGTCCCAGATTTGATTCCGGTCAGGGCATGTACCTTGGTTGTGGGCACATCCCCAGTGGGGGGTGTGCAGGAGGCAGCTGATCAATGATATCCCTCATCAATGTTTCTAACTCTCTATCCCTCTCTCTTCCTCTGTAAAAAATCAACAAAACATTAATATATTAAAAAAAAAAAAAGTCTGAAACTTCAGTATCTCACTCTCCACCTAAAATCTATCATCTTTCTAGTATTTTCATTCCAGTATCAACAAACTTGTTCTCAATCCACCTGGGATCTTTAATCCTCTGATCCTTTCTTTTAAGCAATTAGACAACCTACTTTAATAACTTTTTTTGAACTTACCTCATCCTTGATAGGGGTTTAGTCTGTACATAAGATCATTTCAACACTCAGTAGTATCCTCAACTTTGATTCCTTTGGTTCTAGTCTATTAACATCCTTTCAATACATACTACATCATTCAAAGCCTACTACTTAGCTCCCTGCTGAGTACAATTGTAGTTTATAATATCTTGTATAGACAGGAGGCAGCAAACTGCAGCCTGCAGGCCTAATACAGCCAACTGCCTATTTTGTTAATTCTTACTAGAACACACTCACTTGTTATCTATGGTCACTTTCATGTTAAAACTGATTAAACACACACACACACACACACAGTCTGCCAATCTCTGAAACAGACTGATAACACAAATTTATGGTATTCAAGTTTCTAAGGACAATAACCTTACATCCTGTTTTATGTAGGGGGAAAAAAGACCATTTCAGTTTGAAATTCCTGAAACTTTCACCTTACACATATACGTTTAGCCATACTTGAGTCCATTCTTTACTGACATACCCCTGCACCCGATATGCTGAGGAAGAGGAATATTCAGTAACATTCCTCTTAACACAACCACCACCCACTGTGCTCTGCACAATCCTCTCCTCTTTCCTTTGACTCTGGTACCTCAATTATCCCCTCGTTTAATTTTTTTGCTTTTGTTTTTAGCATTCCTTTTTAAAATTTTTATCCTTATATAAACATGCTCAATATCTTCCCATCTAGAAAAACGAAACCCAGTAACCCTCAATACTCAACCTTTAACATTGTTCGCTGCCCTTTTCCATGAGCCAATAACTCAAAGGCCAAGCTACTCTCTTATGGTTGCACCTTCATTTTACTTCTCAAGGCACTGCCACCAAATACCTACTCTTAGCAGTCCAATGAAAATGCCTGGGAAAACTAACCAGTCACCTAAGTGCCAATGTGCCTTAAGTGTTTGATGTGATTTTTTCCATTTTTGAAATTTGTAACATGTGAACACTCAATAAACAGTAACAGATTAATTTTAGAAATAAAGGTAGTTTGTTTTATACAAAAGTATTGAATATTTTTTTGTTTTCATGTGACAACATTCTATGATTTTTTGTAACATATATCAGTTCTTGAAGTGTGCACATATTTCAATGTATGGCTGTGTTTAAATATCAAGTGTGTCATGGTTTTAATAGTATTACTTGATTATAGTTTTCCAACTTAAAACTTCTATTTTAAATCAGTTGAATATAGTACTTTCCTAAATTTCGACTGTTCGTGTTGTTTTGCTCTTTACACTAATCCAGTGCCAATGTCCTCACCTCTGCTACTAACACATTGTGCTGCATCTTCTTTCTAGACTTCATTATCCGCACTATAGCAGCTTCTATCTCATGTTTCCTGTCATCATCTACTTTCTGCCTTGTTTCTTTCCGTTCTGGGTCAGATTCACCTTGTTTGGCAGCAACTAAAAGAGAAATAAAGACATTTATATGATTATCATGTAATTTCAAATGTAATGAAAAAATGTGGCTTATAAACAAATAATATAAATTAGTAATATCCCCTGCGAAAAACTACAGCAAAACCTTGTTTCTAGAACTTAATTCATTCCAAGAAGGCTGTTCAAGAAGTGATTAGAAAACCAAATCATTTTTTTCCCATTAGAAATAATGTAAATTGAATTCATTCCAGACCCCCATATGATTCCATTTTAACCTTTCATACAGCACATGTCTAAGGTACTGTTTAAATTAAAAACACTTCTTTTCTTAAATTTACTGAACCACTCCCACTAGCCTTAAACGAATTTTTCATATATCACTGCCTCGAAATTTCTATCATCAGCGAAATGCTTTTGGTCAAATCAACAGTTTTTCTACCTATTCAACTGCCTGTGATTGTTGTTTTTTGAGCACTTTCACATCCTTAGCAACATTAACACTCTTGATGGCCTATTTACATTTTAAAATTGTGGTTATCATCAATGTGGATTTTGCCAGCAACAAAAGCATTTTTTCTTTTGTTTGTTGCCTGAAAACCCCTTTTAGTCATGCTGAGGTATCAGCATAAAAGGGATGTCAGGTTGAAAAGTGAAGTGTTGGTTGACAATCAAGGCATTTTTTCTGAGAACTTGGTCCAAAACCAAATTGTTCCAGATGGGAGAAATTGGAGAATCAAGGTTTGACTGAAATTTCAACCTGACTATACACATATACTCATTTCTAGTAAACATCCCAAAAGTGCCCAATTCAGTGGTTAATAAATACTTAAATAACAAGCAGTGATATAAAAATCCTATAATCCTAAATTATTTATTTTAAATATTAGGAATTTACTTTTATAGAGATAAGAAAACCAATTTTATTTTTATAGAATGTGATTCCTGAAAGAAAAATGATAGGTGGTTATCTTTAGCAGTTAACTTATCAATCATTTGTTTGTGACTTCCACAGGCCAATTAGTACCACTTCAACTCCAAGCTAATCCTCACTAAAAGTATCTCAGAAGAGAATACCTGATGGTTTACCAACTCAAGCTATGGCTGTAATCTCTAATGCTAAAAGAGGATGAAAGAATGCCAACTAAAGAAACTCCTTAATAATTCATTTACACTTCTCACCAATTATCTAACAATTTGTCATGTATCTTATTAAATTTTTTATTTCACAATCTCATTGTCACTAGGCATACTATATTCCAATCTTTAGGAGAAATCTTACTCTGTTATTCTCTACAGACTTCAAGGCAATTGCTAAGGGATTAAATATAGAAGTTCCTTTCTCCTACAGCTTTACTCTCTTTGAAGTAGCAGAGAAAGAAATATGATAACTAAATTTTGGGTTATTGGTGCTCAATAGGAGATAGATGTGAAGTTTGTGGTGGTAGAAATTGGAAAATTACAAAGAACCATAAGGGATACTGCTGATGTAGGCAGGGGCATTCCCATGAGACAGTAGACAATTCAGATCATTCTGGTATGGCCATCACATATATTTATAAGTTTCTAGCTATTTCTAACCAGAATCCCTTGGCTGAGAATTCTGCTTCCAGTGTCTTCCAAAGTTAAACATCATCAGTTTTAATGAAAAGAGTAAAATTAGATTAAAATGATCTATTAAGAATAATGCTTTTCCACAAAAAAGTCAATGTTACTTGAAAAAGATAGCGACTGCTTTCAATAGAATTAAATTCAATTGAGATATAATTTTGTTGGGTATGATATAGGATTACAATTATGGGGGAAACTATCTTATTTTAAGGACGTATATGTATGCTGAACTATTTGGAGGGAAGTGTTATGATGTTTGCAAATTCATTTAAAAACTAGCAAATACATATCTATATGGAGGGACAAGAGAAGGACACCTGAGCAAATGTGGCAAATTTTTAATGACTTGTAAATATATGTGATGGCCATACCCATATCCATGATTGTGCTTTTCACCTTTTCTGTAGATTTGGAAATATTTAAAACTAGAGGCCTGGTACAGGAAATTTGTGTACGGGGTGGGGGAGGGTGTCCCATCAGCCCAGCCTGAACCCTCTCCAATCTGGGACCCCTTGAGGAATGTCAGACTGACAGTTTTAGCCCAACCCCTGGGATCGGGCTGAAATGGGCAGTTGGACATCGCTTTCACAATCCAGGACTACTGGCTCCTAACTGCTCACCTGCCTGCCAGCATGATCATCCTTAGATGTCCCCTCCACTGGCCTGGTCCCCTCAACTGCGCCCCCTCCTCCCAAGCCTGTTTGCCCCTAACTACCCACCCCCCCTGCCAGCTTGGTTGCACCCAACTGTAATCAGTGTTTATTTCTTTATTATATCCTATTAACTTACACAAAATACCTGGTTCCCAGGACTGCACCCCTCTCCCCCGCCTGGTTGCCCCTCACTGCCGCCCTCTCCTGGCCTAGTCGCCCCTCACTGACCACCTTGCCAGCTGGTTGCCCCATGCAGCCTGCTGGTCAGTCGTTTGGTTGTTGTCCCTTGCTAACCCTACCATCGGCCTGGTTGACAGACACAGCCTGCTGGTCAGTTGTTTGGTCATCCCTCACTAAGCCCCTATCGTCTTGGTCACTCCAGGCAGCCTGCTTGCTGGTCAGTCGTTTGATCATCTCTTGCTAACCCCCCTGCCAGCCTTATCACCCCACAAGCCTGCTGTTTGGTTGTTATTGTGAGGGTGGCGTGACCAATTTGTATTATTACCCTTTTATTAGTATAGATAAAAAGTTGGAGGAAAAAAGAAATGATATTTTAAATAATCCATTTGGTTCATCTGAATTAGGTCACCTTAATAGGTGTACTCCAAAATAAATGTGAGGATTATGGTAAAACATACTCTATTATGACATTTTAGAAAACACAAGTGCAGGCACTCACTCCTAGAGCCTAGCACAGTACTCTGTACTAGAGTACAACCGAGGTGTTTGCTTGTGTAAGTGGGTACTTATGTATGCAGCTGTATGGAAGGGAAACAGAGGAAGAAGATGAGCAGTGGTGATGGAAAGACTCTCAACTACAGAAACTGCTGTAAATTATAAAGAACCTAGTTCTCTTCAAAGGTTGCATTAGGTAATACTTTTAACTCCTTTGCTGGAATTTCTATTACTTATTTTAGTAAAAAGCAGCATAAATAGGTATGGTTACAGTGTCTGAGTATTTGATTTTTATTTTAAGTAATTTCTCCAAAGGGCAAATGGGTATTTTGATAACTTAAGAAAACCTATATGGTCACAGTACTTATAGCCAGAGAGAAAATTTTAACTTACACAAAGAAAATACCAGTAAATCATCTAGTCAAAATTTTCATAATCTATATACGTATATAAAAGCCTAAGTGACATTTTGATTACTATGATGACGAACTGACCACAGGGGGCAGACGCTCAATGCAGGAGCTGTCCCCTGGTGGTCAGTGCACTCCCACAGCCAACCTCCCACGGCTGGCTGGCCCCAACTGCCCCGATCACTGGCCAGGCAGAGGGACTCCACCAGTGCATGAATTTGTGCACTCGACCTCTAGTCCTATCTAAAAAAGAAAAAAAAGTAATATACAAATTGACCATACCTCTGCTATACCCACAAACCTCGCCCACCAGCCAATAAGGAAGAAGTATGCAAATTAACCCAACCAAGATGGCCTCAACCATGGAGCTGCAGCAAGCAGGAGGTTTGGGTTTCCCTGGCGATGGAGGAAACCAAGCTTCCCTGCTGCCCTGGCTGGCCCAGGCCTACACACAAGGCTACAAAGTTTCAATTATAGAAGATAAATAAATCCCAACAAAAATGGCTGCAGCCACAGAGTGAGCAGGAGTCTTGGCTCCACTCAAGGTTACAAAGTTTCAATTATACAAGATAAATAAATCCCAGATACCAGCGCCTCCTGCTTGGGCCGGCCTGCAAACCACCACAGGTCCCTCGCCCAGGCCGCCCATGCCCCAAGGGAACCCCCACCCTGATCCGGGACACCCTTCAGGGCAAACCAGCTGGCCCCCACCCATGCACCAGGCTTCTATCCTATTAATAAAAGAGTAATATGCAGATTAACCATCACTCCAACACACAAGATGGCTGTCCCCATGTGGTCAAAGGAGGCTGCCCCCATGTGGACACAAGATGGCCACCACAAGATGGCCAGCAGGGGAGAGAAGTTGGGAGGGACCAAGTCTGCAAGGGAGGGCAATCGTGGGCCATCAGGCTGGCAAGGGAGAGAATTTGGGGGCAACCGGGCCTGCAGGGGAGAGCAGTTGGGGGGGGACCAGGCCTACAGGGGAGGGTAGTTAGTGGTGACCAGGCCTTGGGGGGGGGGGGCAATTAGGCGGGACTAGGCCTGCAGGGGAGGGCAGTTAGGGGCAATCAGGCTGGCAGGGGAGCAGTTCGGCATCAATTAGGCTGTCAGGGGAGTGTTTACGGGGTGATCTGGCTGGCAGGCAAAAGTGGTTAGGGGCAATCAGGAAGGCAAGCAGGCAAGCAGTTGAGAGCCAGCAGTCCTGGATTGTGACAGAGAGGTCCGACTGCCTGTTTAGGCCCGATCCAGGTAGGGGTCCCAGTCTGGAGAGGGTGCAAGCTGGGCTGATTTCGTGCACCAGGCCTCTAGTATATAAATAACTACATTCCCATTTTTAATCAGATCTAAAACACTACACACACAAACAGCACCAAAAATTAAAAATTCATGGAGAAGACTTTTAAAAATAACAATAATATCTGACAACATAATTGGTGATGATGAAACCTGTGATTGCAAAGATAGTTATTTATTTAAAGTAAAGCAGTGCGAGGCTAAGTAATTCAGATCTATTATGTATCACCATACATTTTCCTACAAATCTAGGATACAAGTCCTGAAACCTGAAATCCATATCTGGCCAAAATTGTAAATTCACATTTCTTGCACTTTGGAGAAAAAAAGACATTTTATTACAAGACTCACTGGCAGAGTTGTTTTATTTTTAATCTATAACTGTGTCCCAAAGATATGGGATCAATTTTGGTAGAGAAGGTACAATGATATGGTTTTCAACTATGGAACAAAGTAGTCAAAACTGACAAACACACACCACACTGCTTTGCCAAGCATAGGGATCCTTATCAGGGTCAAAAAGGAAAACAAAAGTTCTTGAATCAATGTATTTTGGCAATCCATTGTATATATAGCATTAAAATAATTTTAAAAAGATTACCTTTTATTAACATATAATGTAAACACAATTTTTTAAAGTAAAAGAGTTATTTAAAATTTTCTCTTATTTTGAAAATAGTTTTACCAGAAGATATTAACTGTAATAAATAAATTAATACTGGGACACTTCCTGATACTAGTTTTAAGACCAAGTAGAAAACTACATTAGAGTTTAAATGTCAACAAAGGCAGAGGGCCTCTTTTTCCTTTTAATGCACTGAAACACACATTTTACATAATGTTAAATATACAAGAAACAGAATGTTCTTCGAAATAAAGCTGTACTAAAAAAATGCTCACAAGAGTCACTTCTATGTTTTTAAGTTAGAATATGAATTTAGGGTTTTCAAAATTAAAAATATTCATCAAAATATAAACAGCTTCATCTAAAGATCAAATTTTAGATAACTCAATTTTGAGAAATCTGTTGTCAGTTTTAAAAACAGACATCCACTGAATATTATTTATCCACTTAAAAAGAATAACTTTATAAGTAGTAATATGTTCATAAAAAACTGTAATTCCTCAGGGATATTGGCCTATAATTCTTTTTCATTGTAGTGTCTTTATCTGGTTTTGGGATTAGGGTAATAATGGCTTCATAGAAAGAGCTAGGAAATGTGCCTTCCTCTTGAATTTTTTGGAATAGTCTGAGAAGAACAGGTTTTAGTTCTCTAAATGTTTGGTAAAAGTCCCCTGTGAAGCCATCTGGCTTTTGTTTACTGGAAGTTTTTTGATGACTGCTCCAATTTCCTCCTTAGTTATTGGCCTGTTGAGATTTTTTTGATTCTTCTTGATTGAGTTTTGGAAGGTTGTATTTTTCTAGGAATATGTTCATTTCCTCTAGGTTGTTAAGTTTGTTGGAATAGAGTTGTTCATAGTAATTTTTTTACAATCCTTTGTATTTCTGTAGGGTCTGTTATTTCGCCTCTCTCATTTCTGATTTTATTTGGGTACTCTCTTTTTGCTTCTTGGTGAGCCTGGCTAGAGAGGTTCATCAATCTTGTTTATCATCCTTTCAAAGAACCAGCTCTTGGTTTCATTGATCTTTGGTATTGTTTTTTTGTTTTTGTTTTATTTTTCTTGTCTCTATGTCATTTATTTATGCTCTGATCTTTATTATCTCCTTCCTTCTGCTCACTCTGGTCTTGTTGTTCTCTTTCTAACTCATTGAGTTGTAGAGTTAGATAATTTTGTTACCATTTTTTCTTATTTTCTGAGGTAGGCCTCTAATACTATGAACTTTGCTCTCAGGACTGCTTTCACTGTGTCCCATAGGTTTTAGATTGTTGTGTTATCATTGTCATGTTTCCAGGATGCTTTAAATTTTTTCTTTGACCTCTTTGGCAACCCAATCATTGTTTAATAGCATGCTACCCAGTCTCCAAGTGTTTTAATTTTGGGGGTTGTTTTTAGTTGATTTCTAAAATTAAGCCTTTGTGATCTGAGAAGATGCTTGATATTATAATCTTGAATTTGGAGAGACTTTGGTCTGTGACGCAATATATGTGCTAAAATCCTAGCAAATACTATCCAGCATTACATTAGGAAGATCATACACCATCACCAAGTGGGGTTTATACCAGGGATGCAAGGCTGGTACAATATCCGAAAATCAATAAATGTGATATATCACATAACGAAATTGAAAGACAAAAGTCACATAATCATATCAACTGATGCAGAAAAGGCATCTGACAAAATCCAACACCCTTTCCTGATAAAAACTCTCAGCAAACTGGGAATAGAGGGATCATACCTCAACATAATAAAAGCTTTATATGACAAACCTTCAGCAAACATCCTCAACAGGCAAAAGATAAAACCATTTCCCCTAAGAACAGGAACGAGACAGGGATGCCCACTTTCACCACCCTTGTTTGACACAGTACTGGAAATGATAGCCATAGCGATCAGACAAGAAGAAATAAAAGGCATCCAAATTGGAAAAGAAGCAAAATTGTCATTATTCGCAGATGACATGATATTGTAATTAGAAAACCCTAAAGACTCCATCATAAAGCTACTAGACTTAATAAATGAATTCCAGCAATGTAGCAGGATATAAAATTAACACCCAGAAATCTATGGCTTTTTTTATTTTTTAATATATTTTATTGATTTTCTATAGAGAGGAGGAGAGGGATAGAGAGCTAGAAACATCTATGAGAGAGAAACATCGACCAGCTGCCTCTTGCACACCCCCCACCGGGGATGTGCCCACAACCAATGTACATACCCTTGACTGGAATTGAACCTGGGACCCTTCAGTTCGCAGACCGACGGTCTACCACTGAGCCAAACGGTTTCGGCCTATGGCTTTTTTATACACAGAACTCACAGAAAGAGAAACTAACTAACTAACTAAATAAATAAAAATAAAAAATTCCCATTTACCAGTGCAACACAAAAACTAAGATACATAGAAATAAATTTAATCAAGGAGGTAAAAGACCTGTACTCAGAAAATTACAAAAACTGAAACAAGAGATAGAGGAAGACATAAACAAATGGAACAACATTCTGTGTTAATGGATTGGTAAAAATCAACATCATTAAAATGTCCATCCTATTCAAAGCAATCTATAGATTCAATGTAATCCCTGTGAAAATACCAATGGCATACTTCAAAGATCTATAACAAACTCTCCAAAAATTCATATGGAACAATAAAAAGACCCTGAATAGCTGCAACAATCCTGAGAAAGAAAAACAAAGTTGGAGGTATCACAATACTAGATACCAAGCTATATTATAAAGCTACTGTTCTCAAAACTGCCTGGTACTGGCACAAGAACAGACATATAGACCAATGGAACAGAAGAGAGAACCCAGAGATCAACCCAAGTCATTATGCTCAATTAATATTTGACAAAGGAGGCAAGAGCATACAACGGAGACAAGACGGTCTCTTCAATAAATGGTGTTGGGAAATTGGACTGATACATGCAAAAAAATGAAACTATGGCACCAACTTACACCATACACAAAAATAAACTCAAAATGGATTCAGGACTTAAATATCAGACAGGAAACTATAAAAATTTTAGAAGAAACCATCAGCAACAAAATGGCAGACATTTGTCGTAGCAATATCTTTTACCAACACAGCTCCCAGGGCTATGAAAACTAAGGAGAAAATAAACAAATGGGACTACATAAAAATAAAGGGCTCTGCACAGCAAAAGAAATCATCAGCAAAACAAGAAAGCCCACTGCATGGGAGAACATATTTGCCAATGTTATCTCCAATAAAGGTTTAATCTCCAAAATTTATAGGGAACCCCTAAAATCTAACAAAAGGAAGATAAAAAATCCAATTAAAAAATGGGCAAAGGACCTAAGTAGACACCTTTTGAAAAAGGACATATGGAAGACCAAGAGACATGAAAACATGCTCAAAGTCACTAATCATCCAAGAGATACAAATCAGTAGAACAAAGAGGTACTATTTCACACCTGTCAGAATTGCTATCATCAACAAATCAACAAACAACAAATGCTGGAGAGGATGCAGAGTAAAAGGAACCCTCTTGCACTGCTGGTGGGAATGCAGACTGGTACAGCCACTCTGGAAAACAGCATGGCATTTCCTCAAAAAAATAAATAAAAATGGAACTTCCATTTGACACAGTAATCCCATTTCTAGGAATATATCCCAAGAAAACAAAAATACCAATCAGAAAGGATATATGCACTCCTTTGTTCATAGCAGAACAATTTATAATAGCTAAGATTTAGAAAGAGCCTAAGTGCTCATTAGCAGATGAGTGGGTTAGAAGATTGTGGTACATCTATACAATGGAATACTATGCTGCTATAAAAAAAAAAAGAAGAAGGAATTTTACCATTTGCAAAAGCATAGATAGAACTGGAGAGCATATGTTAAGTGAAAGAAGCCAGGCAGAGAAAGATAAATATCACATGATCTCACTCATTTGTGGAATATAATGAACATAAACTGATGAATAGGGAGAGAACCAGAGTCATAGAGGCATTGAATAAACTATGAGGGAAGGCAGGGGGTGAGGGGGTAAGAGATCAACCAAAGGACTTGTATACATGCATATGAGCATAACTAATGAACATAGATGGGGATGTGAGGGCATGTGCTGAAGGTTGGAGCGACTGGAGAGAGGTCAATGGGGGGGAAGGGGGAGACTTATATAATACATTAAACATTAAAGAACTTAAATTAAAAATAAATAAATAAAACTGTAATTTCTGCATCAAAAATCTATACAAGTATCAAATTCACCACTATGAATTACTTCTTAAAATGTTTACTATACTTGGATTCAACTGAATTGTGACAGGAACATAGGTTGATAAAAGTGGCTTTAATTAAGCCTATGTGTCATGCATCACCAGAAAAGACTTACTTTTTTAAAAGCTAAAAATACTGATAAAGAAAAAAACAATACAATTTGTTTTAAGAGGAACAATATAATACCTGTTTGAATCTTGACTCTGTGTAGTTTGGATGTGAACTGATCATTAACTGTGAATATGTGACCATTTTCTATTTCCTTTGACTTGGGTTCTTTTGTGAGAACCCGTTGTGTTGGTTTACCACAGGCGAGGGACTGCAGGGCTCTAACAAGTTCCCTTTCAGGGATATCCGTTTCTTGTTGAATTTCCTGAAATTTTATCAGATCGACATAAGTATAAATAGACTTTTTGACAGGTTAAGGCAGATTAACTAGTAAGTAAAACTGATCAAGCAGTGATGAGAGAGGTAATATCACTACGGTAATATTTTACAACCAAGAAATCCCCATTATGGTACTTCACCAAAATCTCACTAATTTGGAAAAAAAAAAAAAAAAAAACGAAAAAAAAAAGAGAAAAACTTGATTCAAATTACAAAATACAGAAAATACATGTACTTTTTAAAATTTTAGGATATAATGCCCAATCTGAAAATATTATCCAGCAGAGAATATTAGGAACTTGCTTTAAGAGTTAGGTAAAAATAGTGTTAACCAACATGTAATTGCTACTTTTAGAAATACTCTATACAATCTTCCTTCCAAGTTTATTAACATGATTCCTTTGCTTAGTAACTTCTTTTGTAGAGAGAAGTGACGTAAGCTTGAACGAAGGCCTTCTATCAGACAATCAAAATTTATATTTCAAGTTGACCATATCTACTGTCCATATGACCAAATTTAAAAAATTTAGTTCCTGGTAATTAATACTAAATATGAAAAGCAATAAACCATTATGAAGTGCAGGTGATAATTGTTGCTACATGTTATGAGATAAATAAAATACAATAAAAGCAATTCATGAAAAAAAAATGTATAGTTGCCATGAATGACATGGGTTTGAACTGCATGGGTACACAATGTAGATATTTATCAATAAATACAGTCGACTCTTCCCATCCGCTGGTTTCACATCAATGGATGCAAACAACCTGGGATGGAAAACAGTATTTTTGCATTCTCAACAACAGTTTTATAATTTTTGAATCTGGGAATGTGAAGGGCCAACTACTATAAAGTCAAACTAGGGCTGGATTTTCAACTGGGGGTGGACAGGTGTTGGACTCCAAAGCTCTACCTTGTTTAAAATCAACTGTATAATTTTAAAATATGTTTTATTTTTTTAAGAGTGAAAGAGAGAGGATGAGAGAGGGAGAAATATTGATGAAACAAATAGCTGCCTCCTGTACATCCCCTACTAGGGATTGAGCCTGTATCCCAAGCAAGTGCCCTGAACTGGAATTGAACCTGTGTCCTTTCGATAATTGGCCAGGTCTCAACTGTATAATTTTTAAACTCATAATCTTACGTCGGTGGGAAAGCAAGAGAATTGCACATGGATACAATTTAGTCCCTACCCTACACAACTAGAGGGATGGATGGTGCAACAAGTCTGCACACGAGGCTATACCACTTTGATTCACTGCATTCTGCATAGTCAGTCCATGGACACAGAAAATAATATAGTGAAGGTGGGGGGGGGGGGCGCGCGGTTCTGGATAGAGTGGGGCAAAGTGGGTGGTAGGGGAGAGGGGAACATCTGTAATAGTGCAACAATATAAAAGAAAAATCATACCACTTGGAAATTGAAAAGGCAAGTGAAAATCTGAGAAAATATTCATAGGACATAGGTTTGTATACAGAATTTATAAAGAGCTTTAAAAAATTCTATAAATATATGAACACATTACCAACAAGACACATAGTGACATATGAACACACAAAAGATGCTCAACATCAAGGAAAGGCAAATTAAATCCACAATGAAATATAATTTTACATCAGTCAAAATGGCGAATATTAAAAAGACTGATAATACTACATTTGGGAGAGTATGTGGGGCAACTGGAACTCTCCTACACTAATGGCAGGAATGTAAAACGGTACAAGTTGGGACATAGTTTGGCAGTTTCTTAAAAAGGAATAAACTAAAATTACACATGCAACAACATAGATTATTCTAAAAAACACACTGTGTTATGTAAAAGAAGTGCCACAAAAGCAATTCATATTGTATGATTCCATTTATGGGAAATGCTAGAGAGGCAAGACTAGTCTATGGTGATAGAAAGGAGATCACTAGTCGCCTGGGTATGGGAATAGTGGGAGGGAATTGACTGCAAAGGAATGTAAACATTTTGGGGGTAGTATTCTATAGATTGTGATGGCAGTTACACAGGTATGTACACCTGTTAAAACTCATCAAATTGTGCACATACATGGGGTATGTTTATTACATAAAACTTATACTTCAATACAGTTGATTTCAAAAAGCCAAATGAAATGTGACCCAACAAATGTATGATTTTCAGTTTACTAAAATAGTGATAATAATGGTCATTAAATAATAATTCTAAAGGTTATTCATATAAGAAAGATTCAAGTAACATGTGAAAATTAGAAATAAAATAACTGGTTAAAATTTATATAACTAACCCATACCTCAAATGTATATTTTTCTCTATTATTAAAGAGCATTAATATGGTCATCTGGAAAGTGGAGACTTGCAGTATGTGCTTCCGTGTATTAGAGCCAGTGACTTGTGCCCCTCCAACACCAACTTCAGATCCATCTTCCTGTTTCATTTTTTAAAAAACATAAAGAAGACATTATCACATCCTGGTAACTTTAACAGTGTATTTGAGAAATAACCCTTTAATGACAAACCCCTCCTTTACAACACTACATTAAAAAGAATGTTATTTAAAAACATTTATGTGTGTATGTACAATATACCAAATCTTCAATTAGGGTTGTCGTCGTGTGTGTGTGTGTGTGTGTGTGTGTGTGTGTATAATTTAATTCTACAACTATTTTAACAATACACAATAGAATAATAATGGACTTATCAGACATCACTCTATTATACCACTCCAAAAGTAGTAGGGTTAGGTTTCTTTTTGTGCGGTCTGGTCATAGCAAGAGATCAAATGATAGCTAGGATACGAGAAAATTCTTTGCCATTCTTACAACTAATTTAAGAACAAAGTAAAAATTTAAGTCTCCAATAATTGACATATAAATTTTGTTTAAAAAACCGACAGGGTAGCCGAAACCGGTTTGGTTCAGTGGATAGAATTGGCCTGGGGACTGAGGAGTCCCAGGTTTGATTCTGGTCAAGGGCATGTACATTGGTTGCGGGCACATCCCCAGTGGGGGGTGTGCAAGAGGCAGCTGGTCGGTGTTTTTCTCTCATCGATGTTTCTAGCTCTCTATCCCTCTCCCTTCCTCTCTGTAAAAAATCAATAAAATATATATATTTTTTAAATTAAAAAATAAAATAAAAACCTACAGGGTGGATCAAAAGTAGATATACAATTGTGAATATGAGAAAGAGTCTATTCTTGTATTGTTATTTACTAATTACTGCTTTATTTTTCCATACAAATAGCTATAAACCTACTGTCCCCTCACCCTGTATATAAAGTTTCTAACATTATTCAACTAAATAAATTACAAGGAATATTTCCCTTTTCCATTAAATATAAAAATTAGAATACACATAGCCATTTTAATAACATGTAAAACTACTAAAATTCTAATTACAATATAGAATAAAGCAGTCATTTGCTGGCTGGATGACAACTTAGGTTATTATCTTTTATGTTTTGCCGGAAGCTTTTATTACTTTTCTATTTTTAAGGAAAATGACTGACTAGAGTTATACCAAGCAGTAAAAAGTACACTAAACCTCACGATCTTATATATAAAAAAGCGATTACTTTTTAAAAATGAAGGCAATTTACTTGCATAGTGCTCACTTTAAAATAATCAGTTTAGTAACATTTTGTACATCTCACAAATCTTGTGTTACATTTCCAGTTTTGATTGCTGAAAATTAATAAGGTTTATAGGAGACCAAAATTTTGGAAAGGGGAGTCATAGCTTTGTATGCCCTCAAATCAACTTACATCTTATTATTTTATGCAATATGGTCGCAAGTCTTATCTTACAAAAAATATGTAATTATTCACTCCAGGAAGGCTACTGATATTACCTTCATATTGTCAAATGAAATTATTTAGCAACTGAGGGAACAAAGGTAAATAAAGCAAAGTTCCCACCTTTTTAATATTTGAAACAAGGAAATAGGAGAAATAATTGGCCCAAGTCAACAAAAAATCACAAACCAGTTCTATAGACTAATTTTAAGTTACTTAATATTTACCTTTTTGACTGGTCCATAAAAGGTGGCATTGAGATCTGCAGAACCCATATGATGCTGGAGTGTGAGCTGCCGACCACTGTGTTTCGCTAAGTAAAACCTTCAGCAAATCAAACCAGGTTTTAGAGAATCATACAACTTAATATTTGAAATTATAAACTACTAGTGGCCAAGTGCACAAATTTGTGCACATTGAAAGGAAATTAATTAGAATATTTTAATATGGCTATTTACCCTTTGTCTATAAATAGAAGTATCAACCAAATTCACGATCGACAATGACAGATCAAAACACATATGTGCGATTGGTGTCAGCAAGAGCTTTGTATGTATCATGCATGTGCAAATCAACTTAGCCTTTACAAATATAGAATAAACTTGCTTAATTAGACCGGCTTTCTGATGTAGCTAAACTTTTTCCAGCCCAATGAAGCACCCCAACTTCCCTTTCAGGTAACTGTCAGCAACACAGCAGTAAATAGCAACATGAAGCAGATTATTATTGCAGATCATGCTGGGAGAACAAAAGGTAAAATATTTAACTGCAGCAGTGTTTGACTATATTCTGTGCAATGAAAAAACCTAAAGTCATTTTCAAGGTCCACCATTTCTTACTTCTTTTCAGGTCAAATTTCTAAATTTTCTAAATCTCCGTTTTCTGGCTAATGAAAACAGGATTCCACTGAGTCTCCTACCTACTCTAGGACTTCTGTGAGGATCAAACGAAATGAGGCATGGGAAAACACTTCACAGACATTTGGTTACAGTGTAAAATGTTTCCACCTGGCTATAAAGCAAGTCATTTTCCTGGACTGAAAAATTGCAAGGCTAGTTGCTAGGAGAGGAAGCCAGGCATTGCTATGTAACATTATTACCCAGATGGGCACTTAGCATAATAGCCTTTTATATGTATATAGATAGGATAAAACTTATGTAAGGCAGAGTTACAAAGTTAGCATGCACTAATGCTGAAGGGCATCAATAAAAGATTCCTTTGAAAAGAATTTATGCAATGCATATTAAAAGCATAAAAGATAATTCTCCTTTTGAACATGAGGTAAAAAATGGAGTACAGCATATTTATCCTCTATCAGGGACACAACAAATACTCATTTTTTTTTCAACTTTGGACAGTTATTTGTTTTTAGAAATACAAAGTTTGATCTACATTTACCTCCTGAATATCTCAAAAGCATGTCTTGGTGCTGGTGGGATGTTGCACTTTGGTGTGGCTGACTGAGTGGGCCAATATCCTGTTGTGAGCACCCGGACTGTGAGATCAACACCACCTAATGATACCTGTGTAAAGGACAAAAAGATGTTCCCCAACAATTAAGTAGGATTTGTTATCTGTTCCACATAGACACTGTGCCAGTTATCAAAGCAGTTTCATATCCGATATTGAGCAAATAAAACATTATCTTCTTAAAGGTAAGGTCCACCTGTGTTTTTCAAATGTTAACTCTCCCCTGTCTCAAAGATTTATATGTATTGCTTAAGATGTTGATTTTAAAACATTGGCCAAAGGACAGTTGTTAGCATGTGAACAAAGGGTTAGTGATGTCATTGAGAAATGCAAACTTTGGCCCTGCAGCTTTTTAAGATAAAATCTTGAGTCATATCTGTGTCATTCAAAAGAAAAAATTAGGATACTACAATAGCTCTCATCTCAGATTTTAGTCTTTTTACCATATTAACACACAAATGAAATAATTCTATTGCATTCATATTTGAAGTATATTGATCAACATGTTTTTGCCTGTAGTTAACATTCTAACAAACGTTGCACAGGATACTAAATCCTGTTCCTCATAGTAGATGCTCTATGAATATTTGAATATGGATGACTACTATTTGTTACATTAGGTATTTTCTTCTTGTTAAACAAATTAATTTAATAAAAAAAAGCATATAAAGATTCTTAAAGGTAAAATAGTATCTTTATTTTTGATACTCACAGCTTATTCTATAAATCATTGTATTTTTATCTAATCTGATTTAGTGTCAGATTTTTAAAAGGAAGAGATCAGCTAATAAAAAATATCTTAAAATATTCCACTCAGATTTCTTCACAAATACCCACTAAATGATCACTCCATTTTGAAGAAACTAAAACTAGATAGAAATTCTAGATGATGGATCACAGCAGAGACTCTTAGATGATGAACTGAGGAAGGCTAAGAACTACTGGTACTTTGTAAGTTGGGTGAACTGGGCGTTGAGCTCACATCTTGGTACAATACACCCCAAACAGTCTTTAAAAAAACAAAAAAACAAAAAACACAAAAAACAAACACCTTTTAACCTTTTCTCCCATATACTCAACAAAGACTTTACCTTCAAGTCTTTTCTTAAAATCTAATTTTTTAAAAGAGGCCTTGTCTGACCACCCTTCCCTATTACTGATTTCCTTTGTACGCTCCATTGCCATTTCAGATGCTATGTGTTTACTCATCCGGTTTATCATCTGTCTCCCAGATTAGAATATAAGCTCCACACCAAGGGAATTTTGTCTGTTCTATTCTTTGCTGCACTCCCAGTGCCTAGAACAATGGTTGGCACGAACAGTTAAGTGGGTTAGAATGCCTCGATATGTACTTGCCTTTTTCTACAAAATTAGCTATTTTCACATATTTTTTTTGTTATGAGACTGTGGGACCACAAAAGTGATAACCAAATAAAGGGAAGACCTAGTATTTTAAAAACTGGTGGTGACTTATCTTAACTACAAAGTAATATACAGTCACTTGAGAAAGAAAGCTTTTAAAGAAAAACTGCAAAGTTTTCTAAACTTAAGGTAAAGTTATAAAACAGTCAAAAAATAAAATTCTGAACTTAAGTCCTCACGAAATCCCACCAGTCTTCAAAGTCATACAAGTTGCAGCTCACCGCCTTCTAGAGTCGCAATACAGAACACACTTAGAACAAAATAGTGTCTATGTTTTTAAACTCAGCCCATCCCTGCCAATCCTGAGGATGTCAGATCCATTTAGTATCAATTAAATAGGAGGTAACAAAGACAGCACAATCCTGGGAAAAGTGGAAGGAAGAGAACTATACTTTAGAAAGTGAAAGGAAGAGAACTATACCTTAAAAAGCTTGCATAAGCCTAATATTCTTTTCACAATCTGTAAGAATTTAATAGCATAACCATTCTATTTATTAAATTTTCCGCACATTCCTTCAAGTGAATGTTTTAGAACAATAAAAAAATAATTTAACATCAATAGTTAGAAAAAGAGGTTATATTGGGGGAAATAATTTTTTAAAGCATTCACAGACACTATTGGACATTTTAAAACATGACAACAGTCCATTTGATATATGGATGAAAATGTCCACTACAAAAGATTTTACATAAAATATATATAAGCAGAAATAGAACAATTACCCCCGTTGCCTGTAGATGTTGCCTGAATTCATCCATAGTTGTATTTGAGATGCTCATATCCCTAAACATTCCTTCCAGTTTTGATGTGAATTGACATCCACACTCAGTCTGTGTAAGAAAACAACAAATAAACGATGTTTTTTTCTATGAGAAAACATACAAATAAATGAACGATTCCATGTTACTGTCATCATTTCTAAATTTTTCCAATGATTTCTCTAAGAGTATAGGTACCAAACTTTAGTGTTTAAAATGCAGATTCTAAATCTATCAATAACCTCACTGAAGGCAGGGGCCCAGAACTCGTGTTCACAAGCACCTCATGTGATACATGTACAGGTGGTCTGTGGACCATACCTTTGTACTTTTGTGACAGAACTATATAGTAATATTGCCTTTATTATTTCCCTTGTACTAATCCTTCCCAGATTGCCATGAATGTACCCTGCCATGCTAAAAGAAATTCCAGCAAACTCCAAATATCTGAGAACTTGAATAAATTTAAGTATAGCTTTATAAGTTTGTAAAAATAGTACTTTAAATCAGTTAAATCTTTTCCAATCCAATGTTGCTGTTCAATCATGTGACAAACATTAGTTAGGTACACTCCATTCCATCTTATACACACCTTACCTTTAACTTAGATATCATATTTTTTTCAGAGTCATCAGAAACACTTTTATTTGTAAGAAGTCTCCTTGCCAAGTGTTGTTTATAATAACGTTCAAATACATCTTTTTCTTGCATAAACCTAAATAGGACCATTGCCTTATCCAATATTGTTTCTACTTCTTGTTCTGTTAGCTGCAAAATCAATTAAAAAGAGTATTTAGTAACTTCAAAATTTTAGTTGTACAAAAATAGCACCACAGTTCAACAGTTTAAAAACAATACTGTGACAACAAACATAAATATTTGGTTGTGCTATTCCTGGGGGATCTCCTTAAAAGAAGGTGCCTCCTACTTCATAAGGGAGCACACCACAACTCTGACATCCTATTCTAATGCAGTATCCATCAGGCATTGATATGCAGTTCCATTTCATAGAGAAGCGGTTGCCAACAAGTCTGAAAGATTAGCCCTAGAGGGCTACTACTGAAATGATACATGGCTGGATTAAACAATCAAGAAGAACAGATGAAATAGAGTTGTAAATGCAAAAAAAGAGTATCTTACAATGCCTTTCCATAATATGTAGACAGGAACTTACATATGACAGATATTGTCATATAAGATCAGCCAAAATCTAAACTGTGCAAACAGAAGGATAATAATTTGCTATAATTTAAAGCTGCGCTCGTTAACCTTTCAGATCTCTCAGATCTCCAGTGGTCCATAGACCACTGGTTGGTGACCGCTGATTTAAAGAATAATAAGACCCCATCACCCTTATCTTTTAAATAGGGATAGGTGATACTGTGGCAGGTTGTATTAAGCTTATATTAAAAATTATGGAAGAATAAACAAATGTGTCTTTTAGTTTGTCTTAAACTTTTGTTTCTTCTAGAGGAGCCTGTAAAACCTGTGGCTATTTGTTGCTTTTCCCTATTGTCTCAAAAATTACAAGGTGAAGTAAAAAAGAGCAATTTATGTGTAATCACAATACTCTTAATTTTCTATGCTATAGTAAGCTTCCAAGATCCCCTGTATATAATAAAAACTTGAAACTGAGCTTCAATATATGCTTTCAAACTATTTTCTGTTATTCTAGTCTATGCCTTCAAATTCCTGGCAACCAAGTATTATCTGATACATAACCCCAAGAACCAGATGAGAGCAACAATATCCTATGCTATGGCTGTGTAGTTTGTTTGTTTTTATAGATTAAGTGAAATGTCAAAGTACCTCTGGCCATTTCGAATATGTAAACAATCCTTTACATTTAAGTACAGTACATGCTTATTTTTATATTTAAAAATTCCCTAATTTTGTATTTGATTTCCCAAGCTTATATATAATTTTATATCTATAAGTAAAATTTAAATGTATTTTCAAATATACTATACTTACCCCTTTGACTCCCTTTTTCAACTTATCATCAATAAATAATGAGAGGTATTCAGGGGACCTGGAGTTGAGGTTGAGAAAATACTCAAAGTCACCCGCAATAGTTTGTTTAAAGAGTCGGTCATTATTAAATGATTCCTGCAGGAAGCGATCAAACCTACTCTTCAGATCCAATAAGCCCTTCCAAATAAAAAAAGAAAGTTAAGATTCATTATAATAATGTCTCTAGAAACAATAAGCATGCAAACATGTATGTTTATTTTAATTTTGCTGGTAATATAAATGTATGCATTCAGTGTTAAACTTAGAGATTCTATATTATTTTCAAGCCTGTATCTAAGCCTGTATTAAAGTGTCAGTGATGAGGGAAATATTTTATCATTCACTTATGTATTACTGCACTTAAGATGAATCAAAGAACCTCTTCAATTGTTTCTCCTCATCCTGTCTTTATTAAGTGGGCAAGCCCAAGAAAAGTAGTTTTAAAAATGTACCATGAGAACCCTTTATTTATAATAAAACAGGAAAATTTGCAACAAAATCTTCTGCTCTTACTATTGCTCAAAAGCAAAACATTTTGAAACAAAAGTATTTAACACATGGTTGTTGTTTTTGTAATACACTAAAACATATGAGCACTTAGGCATATAAAAAAGTAGGAAGGAATAACTTTCATTCTTAAGACTATTTAAATAAGGTCTTTACCAGATAGAATAAATAAAAAGCAGCTGAGTCTGGCTTCCTAATATATACATACTTTGCAAAAACTCTAAAATCTTTAGGATAATTATACATTCTAATTTACCACAGGGACAATTAAGTAAAAAATACACCCTACATATCATAATAAGTGACCTTTTTAGTACTTGTCAATAGTAGTTTATCACAGACTTAAAGATAATCTTCTGATTTACCTACCTGGATATAGTCAACAGGATTCTTTCCTTCGCCTTCTTCAGAAACAAGGGCTTTACCCTGCTCTCTCAAATAGGAACTCATACACTCACACATCGTTTTCAAACCATTTGGCACACGACTAAATAACTTGTACATACAAGCAAGGTCTGCAATCAGAAAGCAAACACAAATCGGCTACATTTAAGATTAAGAAAAAGTGTGTATCTCTGTTCATGCTGATTTGTAATACTTAAAATTTATTTCTCCACTGCAATCATTTGCGGACATGAAAAACTACTACCCACTCCCCCAAGTAAAATAGAAAAAAAGGAATAAACAGGCCAGTTAATGGTTATTATTGCAATTTATGATACAGGTTCAGATAAGACTCTCTGAAAACATCAATAAAATGTCTCAGCAATTTTAGGTTACATAGAAGAGAAGATGCCCGAACCTGATTAACAAAGCCACAAAAAAGAGAACTACAAGTTTTAGGTTCTGTAGAACTTATCCTAAAGTAATTCTAATCTAGAACCTAGTATTACTATAAACTGTATAAGGATAACTTTCATTATGGCGTAATTTGTAGTCAATAAAACATTTTTAAAACCTATTAAAGTCTTATAAATATTTTTATCATGTCTATTTTAAAAGTTCTAACAATAACCATGAAAACAAATATACTAGAATTTATTTCATTTCATATCTTGGTAAAGTTTACATGAAATTTACAGCATAAATTCCTATTTAATATTTTCCTCAGAGCAATCTCTAATAGTATTTCCCAGGTGATGTCTTTTTTTTTTTTTTATAAATATATTTTATTGATTTTTTACAGAGAGGAAGGGAGAGAGATAGAGAGCTAGAAACATCGATGAGAAAGAAACATCGATCAGCTGCCTCTTGCACACCCCCTACCGGGGATGTGCCTGCAACCAATGTACGTGCCCCTGACCGGAATCGAACCCAGGACCCTTCAGTCAGCAGACCGACGCCCCACCACTGAGCCAAACCGGCTTCGGCCCAGGTGATGTCTTAAAGCCAGTATTTGCATTTTAAAAATTGGTTTATCTCAGAAAGAAAACTGTAGACTCTGTCCATTTTTGGCATCATGTGCACAGATTAAAATGTAGAGTTGAAACTCTGCTTTTCCAAATGTCTAATGTTTCTTTGAAATAAGAACTTATAGGGAGACTATCATAATAGAACTTTACAACAATATAAAAAAGTTTTATAATCAAGAACTTTTGAAAATGGAGCTAATACAAGCAGTAGAAATTAGAGACTGATAATTTTTTTTCTGTCAAGCGCTAAATAGTAAATATTTTAGATTTGTGAGCCACATATGGTTTCTGTTGCTATTCAATTTTGCCATTGTGCAAGAAAGAGCCATAGGCAATAAATGGGCATAACTATGTTTCAATAAAACCTTAGTTTTTAAGTTTAAAATGTATAGTATGTCTGTGTAATAAAACATTCTTTTTAAAAAAATATTTTTATTGATTTCAGAGAGGAAGGGAGAGGGAGAGGGAAAGAGAGATAGAAACATCAATGATGTGAATCATTGATCGCCTGCCTCCTGCACCCCCTACTGGGGATCAAGCCCACAACCCAGACAAGTGCCCTTGGTCGGAATCGAACCTAGAAACCTCCAATCCGCAGATCAACACTCTATCCACTGAGCAAAATCGGCCAAGGAGAAACATATTCTTTAAAAAAATCCCCCCCTTCCCCATAAAATTGATGGTGGGCTATATTTAGCAAACGGGCCATAATAATTTACCTAGGCTGGTCTATATTTACAAGAGAAATTAAGATCCTAAAACTAAAGTTGTATGTATTTTTAAAATACTGAGAAGCAAATTTTATAAAAGGGGCTTCTAAAATTTGTTTTAGTGACTTACAAAAACAAATTTTATTTAAAAATAAGTTTTCATCAATAATATAAATCTAAAGTAATTTATACAGAACAAAGCTTACAGTTTTTCTCATTTTAGCATACAACCAAATTTCTCATGTTGAAAATAGGTATTACATTTTCAACAGTATGGATATATACTACAGTAATTTGGCATATCAAATACCTCTAACAGAAATGGTAACCAATTTATCTGTTTTGTTCCTATGCTGTCACAGTTTTACTTAATTATATGGTCTATAGTTAATTGTAAGTAAATTAATACATTTCATTGTCTTTCATTGTATATAAATATATGATATAGTGGAGGATGTGAAAGAGAAAATGAAAAATACTTGGCATTCAAAATTAAATACCAAAATGAGATGCCATTTGAACTTCGCAGCACTATCTACATCTGATAATCAGTTAATCCTTTTCATCCTCCACTTATGGTGAGAAAAGTGTTTTCACTTTTTGATTTATGAGACATTTGGCTTCATAATGGTGAAGCTGTGACTCTGACCTATTATAGAACAAACTGATCATGAGCAGAGCCTAGCAAAATTAAGACACTGCACAATTAGGTTTCTAGTGGGAGGTCAGGAAAATTGAAACCAGATTTTTACAATTTAACTTAGAATCAGAGATAGTTGCTTATATATGGTAAGTAGCCACTGTGGTGTTTCTTTATTCGTGTACTTATTAAGCTCTTGCCATGTGTCAGGCATAATTAATGCTTTTAACTGAAGTATACAGGATATAGAGATACTATAATTTGGGCATGACAATCTCTCCATCAAACATTTCATAGCTCCTAATCTTCAGCCCATTTAATCTCCCCCCTCCCATCCTCTCAAGGTAGGTAAGAAAGAATTAACTCGATGGCTAAACAGTACATTAGAAAATTTTTAGATTCTAATTTTGTTTATATAGGGAAAATGCTTTTCCTGAAGTCCAAGTCTGCTAGGGACCATTTACATCAGGAGTCATCAAACTGTAGTCCATAGACCAGATAGAAATACAGCCCATTGTCTTTTTTGTACAGCATACGAAAAATAAATCAAATGAGGTTTTACAGAAACATAGTCAAGCTTATTCTTATTATGTTATGCCTACTTTCTCAATATGCAGTAGAGATGGTAGTTTACTGTATGGCGAACACACCTAAAATATGTACTGCCTGCTCCTATACAAGAAAGTTTGCTAACCTGACTTAGACCGTAGACATGCAGTAGCTTATTTTAGAAAACATGACAAACATTCGTAAAATAATTTTTGTTCTGTTGCTTCTACAAAAATGTTTACCAGAGGTTGTTTTTTTTAAATGGAACTTTTTTGGCTTTAATAAAAATCTACAAGGTTATATACAACTTTCAGAAACTTATTACATGTTTACAAATATAACCAATTCAAAACACAAAGTAAGGATTCCATTAAAGGAAGCATGGGGCAACCTCTCTTCCCATCACGTTTCTTTTCAATTTTCTTATATCCTCCTTTTAAAAAAATTATTCACATAAAAAATTCTTCTTTTCATTCCCTATCTTCGTCATTTCTTCAAATAGGCAATATGTATTTCATCTATAGGTCATTACCCCAAATAGGCAATATGTATTTCATCTATAAGAACAAAGTGGCTAAAACACTGCCAAAACTTCATCTAAGAAGCAGGAGAATAGAAAAATAAGTACCAGGTTTCTTTTTCATTATCATGTAAGTGATTTATTTATAAAGTCAGAGTTTAAAGCAAAACTTCAGAAATTAAGAGGACAATATAACAGTTTCCTTATTTCTTCTTGGGTACTTGTCACAAAATACTGTGTTCAGGAAAATAAAGGTAAATAGCCCACACAAGGAAATGTTACAGTTGTCACAAAATACTGCTTTCAAAATAAATAAATAAATGAACAAATAAATAAATAAAGCCAAAATGAGTAAATGCTACAGTAAATGCTATCTCAAAATTTCTATTTTTACTTTTATGCAATTATCCCTTCTCCTTTTTTAGTCTATAACTTCAGAATCCCCAAAACCAATGAACTAATTTATTTAAATACACTAACAGGAAAGACACCTATTTTTGCATTTTAGGAAACCTTATCACAACTAACTCCTATAGGAAAGCCTATAAAAATTTTTAGATTGAAACTTCAGATTTTAAAAGAATCACAAAAACTAAAGGACAGTATTCGTGAATAGAGTCCAAACCCTCTAAGCATATAACACCAAAGTATAGGAATAGATGAGGAGCTTGTTGTCCTCACCAGTATTACATTTATCTTCTGGGTAAAGAAAAACACAGTGAGGAGACATAAGACAAAAGAGAGAAAAAAGTCACTTCACTAGAAACATCTAAAATCCTCAGTAAAAAATGCAAAGCTTTACCATTAGATCACCCCAAAGTAACAGCTAAATTAGTGATACAAACCACTTCTTAAAAACTGATATTCATTATCTTAGAGAAAAATTAAAAAAAAAAAAAAATACTGAGAACTTGGTAGAACTATAAGGATTTTTCCAACTGCTAAGACTTACCTTCTGTCTTTCCATTTTTCAACATATGTACTAGCCCAGAATTCTCCATTTCTACTATAGTTTTCATGTGCTTGGAAATAAGTTCCCTCTCCACCACCTTTACAATTGGCTCTTCGGTTGATTTATCAAGGCAGTGCATCACCCGTTCTATTTCTTCATTAATTCTAGCTTCTACTTTCTTTATATAAACTGAAGCACTGTTTTCTGCTAAAAATTTCTGGCTTTCCATCTGCAAATAGGAAGGATGATTCTTTAAAAACACAGAAGCAAAATGTGTTTCTGCTTTTAACTATATTTCTATAGTCGTGTTTATAGAAAATCAAAACTAATATATAAGTACTATTAACACTTTATACAGTTCATTACATATGATCATACAGTCTGCGTTATATACTTTAAAGCATTATTTACATAAAACTGAATTAATACATTATCCTTGAGCAGTGTTTTTCAAATACTGCCAATGTACTCCAAATAGCAGCAAAAGTAAACACATGCCAGAATAAAGCATCTGACTCAAAGTGAGAATGGCAAATTCTTCTTTGATTTGTTTTAATGGAAAGTTATGCCTAGAAGGAATCATCATGTTTATCATGTAGTTTTGCCGACACACTGTTAATTACTGAAGTTCTCCTGCCACCCTGACTCTCAGGTTCAAAGAAGTATATATACTGAAGTTGGAAAAATGGAGCTTTTAAATAACTATCAATTTTGCCTGCTAATACCAACCTTATAGAGGTTCCACTAAATTATAAATGTCAACCCAAATGATATAAACCTATTTGAAAGTAGGATTAATGAATATATCTAAGAATTACATAATAAAAGAGATGTTGATGTGAACTATAGATAAATGCTACTATTGTAACAAAAGTACTCTTAGTCCTTGAAAATAATCAAATTTCTAAGAACGGACATTAACACAACAAACAAAAATCTTGGTGAGATCTTTATAATTCCTGGCTATCATTATTACCTTATAAATACTGTCTTCTATCTGTCATGTTCCTCATTTATTGTTATTATCATTTCATTATAAGTGAGTAATGGTTTAGCTTTGCTTTCAGCAATTTAGTTCCTTTTGGGTTGTATACTGCATAATGCTGCAAATGTATATCAATTGTACTTATTGACCTATAGCTTTCCAATCAACAGTCTTGAAGACATATATGCACTATGCGATCATGTACACTCCCACATTTATTTTACTAGTTACTTATAATATCAAAAGTCTATAAACTTCATTGATGATACCCTGGCTAGTAATTTGTGGGTAAATAATTTGCAACGTAAGAGCCTCAGTAAAAAAAGGTAAAAAAATATTCAAATTAGTAACCACATTTAATAACTTTAAGCACATCTTAAAAGAGCACTTATTTATATATCTTCACTGATTACCTGAAAAAATTCTGCAGACATTTCCAAAAAAGGAGCCTCAAAATCTTCTTCATAGACTGATCGTCCTTCAAGACCTAAAATCATTAACATCTGGCACGCATTTCTTATTGCGCCTCTGTCAAAAGAAGTTACAATCACTTGAAAATCAAATTACATCAAAGATTCATATAAAAAAATACAACAGAAATAGTTAGAGTTTCAGAATGTTTTTTAAATCAGTGACCAATCTCCCAGAAGCAGCTTCTTTTTAACATGAGGTTTTAAAGTAAATTTCATTGGAAGGCAGTATCTTGACTGCACAGGTATTTATCTCGTTGTTCTCATGCAATAACTTAAACATTTGAAAGATATGTTTAGGATGTCACATCTAAATAGCCTTGTGTATTTTAAAACATAGAGAATAAAAAAGCTATTATATCAGGAAGCAGGAAGGATGAAAGGAGGCTGCACTGCTTGACTTGTAAATTTTTGTACCAAATGACTTTTGGGCAATCCTGACCAGGCACCAATGTGTAAATAAAAAACTTTACAGCCCTAGCTGATTCTGCTCAGTGGATAGAGCATTGGCCTGCGGACCAAAGAGTCTTGGGTTCGTTTCTGATCAAGGGCATTTACCTGGGCTGCAGGCTCCTCTCCCTGGCCCGGGCACTGGTTAGGGCTCATGCAGGAGGCAACCAATTGATGTATTTCTCTCATATCAATGTTTCTCTCTCTTTCCCTCTCCCCCCCCCTCCCTAAAAAAAAAAAAAAAAAAAAAAAAAAAAAATCAATGTAAAAATATCGTGTAAAGATTAAAAAACAAACAAAAAACTTTACAAGTCTTCATTTACTAGCTGCATTGAATAGAGAAGCAGAGAAAGCTGTCTTGCATGTTTCAAGCCACTTAAGCTGATGTCATTGTAATCATATGAAAATGTTATAGTAGTTCATAGCTCGTTTAGACTATGTTCAACATTTTTCTTTAAATATGTTAAAAAGGCTAGCAAAAAGCCCTCAAAGAAAGACAAAAGGAAAAAAAAATGTTATCACCCAGCCAGAAAAAGAACAAAATGCAAGAATAAAAAATACAGCCCTAACCGGTTTGGCTCAGTGGATAGAGCGTCAGCCTGCGGACTCAAGGGTCCCAGGTTTGATTCTGGTCAAGGGCATGTACCTTGGTTGCAGGCACATCCTCAGTAGGAGGTGTGCAGGAGGTACTGATTGATATTTCTCTCTCATCAATGTTTCTAACTCTCTATCCCTCTCCCTTCCTCTCTGTAAAAAACAAAATCAATAAAACATAAAAAAAAAAAAAAAGAATGAAAAATCAAAGGAAAAAAAATTGCCGTCCACTGCATACTCTGTTGGGACAAGGCAGAAGAACTCTTAGAGAAAAGTGAGAGCACGAATTACAAAATAACTCCTCAGATATTGGAAACTCTGGTTTGGGGATCCAGGAATACATTGATCTGGGGATCATAAATAACCAAAGTACTGATATCTACAGCCTGGAATTCTATGTGCTTGGTAGGCGAGGTTTCAGCATCGCAGACAATAAATGTAGTTCAGGTTGCACTGGGGCTCATCATAGAGGCAGCTGGTTATAGCGAAAGTATGACTGGATCACCCTTCCTGGCAAATAAATTCCCCTTTCTGTCCAAAACGACAATCAAATATTTTCAGTGAAATGTAAAAAAAAGAAAAATCAAATGGGAAAACTAATGGCTGAATTGCTTTAAAAAAAGTATACCAAATTAAAGATTAAAATGGTCTCTTCTGAAAATAGAAGTGTGTTTTTAAGTTAACATCTATGTAACTTTGTTAACTGTGATATAAGTTTTTGAGAATTTTCATAACGTGCTAGACAATCAAACTTTCATTTTAATAAAATTTTGACAATAAGTTGGTTCTCAGGGTATAACTGCTAAGAACCAAAACCTAATTGAGTTAAAAGATGATTAATACCGGTCTACAACTTCTCCTTTCCGCTCTCTTGCGATCATATCCAATAATGTTTGTCGTAGATGATCCCTAATACAGCCATATCGCACAACTTGATCCCGAAAAATAATTAATCCCAAGTTGTAGACATTCTCCACATTGTTTTGTTGTACATATACACGGTCCTGCAATAAAAATGAAATCATAAAACATGAGAACTCCTGCAGACATAATAATCACTGTAAGCTACAACAGTAAAGGAAATAAAATTCCAAAAGCAGTCAGTTTTGCAGGTGAAAACCACTTCAAACTATCTTAAGCAACACAGAATATTCTACTACCTCCTACGTTATATAAAATATTTTTCAATTTATAATCGTTACTGAAACAAACAATGCCCATTTACCCTAAGAAAAAGGGAGAAAAAGCTAGCACACACCAGGAGGGGCAAGTAAACAGAAAGCAGAGGAGAAAGGTAGTCAGATCTTTCTTTCTCCCCAAAGCCATACCATGCTCAAACATTGTTCATACTTTATTAAATACTCTACTTGATCATATTCTATAATGAAAATTGTGAGCTGAATGAAATATAGATCCAAATGATTTAAATTGATTGCTTACTGGTAAATATTAAGACTCTAAGATGTATAACAGAGCAGCATTAAATATTATATAATTAAAACACCTCCAGTTACTATCATCTTAAACAAATTATACCTATTAGTAATCATCTTATGTTCAAGTTCTTACCAACATTGATTACAGGTATGTCACTATAGAGCAGTGGTCACCAACCTTTCGGACCTCACGGACCTCTGGTTGGCGACCGCTACTATAGAGCATAAGTAACCCAGAACTATTGGCTATGAAAGTCCTATTTTGGGCATTATTTGAAAATCAGTATTACATCTAAGTATACAGAAACAACTACTGTTTTTAAGTCACAAGAGGATTAGTAATATAATTCTTTCCTGTTCTTAAACACAATTTTTCTGGGTTTTGGTGAGTCTGTGAACTTTCTAAAATTATAAAATTATTATGTTTGGTCATTTAAAGTAATTTGGAAACAAAGCTCAGAGCTTTCATCAGATTCTTAAAGGCATTTGTAATCCAAAAACAGTTAAGAACTTCATACGGATCTTTTAACATGTGTGGTGTTGTGTTTTATTTTATTTATTTATTTTTTTACATTTTGTCAAAGAACTACAGTACTTAGATTTAGTAAATTTTAGAAGCTGTACAACAAACCGATAATAATTTGTATCATTTCTTTTAAAAGAAACATTGTCCTTACAAGCAACATCAAAGCTGTAAGCTGAACAAGAACAAAGTTCTAACATATTAGCAGTGTACCTACAATGATATTAACCTTCCAACCAATTTTTAATAAATTCTCCATGAGTACCACTCTCTTCATATATCATTCCTCCAATCTTTTTTTATGTATCTTACATAATGGTACATAGCTCATGGACACAAGGAAAGTTGCTCTTTTATTAGCATCTGTGATGCTCACCTTTTTTTCTTTCTTTTTTACAAAAAAATATATTTTATTGATTTTTTACAGAGAGGAAGAGAGAGGGATAGAGAGTTAGAAACATCGATGAGAGAGAATCATCGATCAGCTGCCTCTTGCACACCCCCTACTGGGGATGTGCCCGCAACCAAGGTACATGCCCTTGACAGGAATTGATCTCGGGACCCTTTAGTCCGCAGGCTGACTCTCTATCCACTGAGCCAAACTGGTTTTGGCTCACCTTTTTCTTTTTCCTTTTTTCTTAAGTCCTGAAATCAACTTTAGTGAGTTTGGAATTTTCATTGATAACTTCAACAAGTTCTCAGGCTTTACACTACTATCCTCAAGATCTTAAATTCCAAAATTTCCTCTGAACACATCTTTCCTGCTTTTTATGGCTCTCACTGTTTCCTAGGCACTGAAACTACTCTTTGTAATCATGCCCTTCAAGTCCAACTTCCCTACTGTCATCCAGGTTTGCTTCACATTTCAGTATAAAACAAGTTGTCCTTAAAAACTGGCACAAATCTAAACTATTGAGGGGAAAAGTCACACAAGTTCAGGAGGCCCAGAGAGTCCCAAAATAAGAAGCCAAACAGCCACATCATAATTAAAATGCCAAAAATTAAAGACAAAGAGATCATCGTAAAAGCATCAAGAGAAAAGCAATTTGTTACAAAGGAGCTCCCATAAGGCTGTCAGCTATTTCTCATCAGTAACTGCCAGAAGGAAATGGCATGAAGTACATGTAAATAAGTGTAAATGCTCCAATAAAAAGACATAGGGTAGGTCCGTGGTTGGCAAACTGCAGCTCGCAAGCCATATGCGGCTCTTTGGCCCTTTGAGTGTGGCTCTTCCACAAAATACCATGGCCTGGGCGAGTCTATTTTGAAGAAGTGGCATTAGAAGAAGTTTAAGTTTAAAAAATCTGGCTCTCAAAAGAAATTTCAATCATTGTACTGTTGACATTTGGCTCTGTTGACTAATGAGTTTGCCGACCACTGGGGTAGGTGAATGGATACAAAAACATGAACAAATTAGATGCTATCTACAAGAGACCCAGTTTAGGGAAAAAAAAAAAAAAAAAAAAAAAAAAAAAAAAAAAAAAAAAACTCACAAAGGAAGAGAGGAAAGAGATGGAAAAATTTTTCCATGCAAATGGAAATGAAAAACAAGCTGGGTTAGCAATATTCATATCTGACAAAATAGACTTCAAAATAAAGGCCATCACAAGAGACAGTAAAGGTCACTACATAATACTAAAGGGGTTGATCCAACAAGATATAACCCTGGGAAACATATATGCACCCCACATAGGAGTACCTTAATATATTCATAAAACTTCTAGAGAACTTTAGGGGAGAGATTGACAGCAATGCAGTCAAAGTAGAGGACTTCGATACCTCACTAACTTCACTGGATAGATCTTCCAGACAAAAATAAAGAAGGCAACAATGACTATCAAGGACATACTGGATCAGATAGATTTAATTGACATTTATAGAACATTTCACCCCCAAACTGTAAAATATACATTTCAAGTACACATGAGTCATTCTCAAAGATATACCACATGTTAGGACATGCAAGAAGATTGAAACCATATCAAGCATATTCTCAAATCACAATGGAATGAAATTAGAAATTAACTACAGTAAAAACATTCAAACACATGAAAGCATGTTATTAAATATTGAATGGGTTATCAATGAGATCAAGAAGGAAATAAAGCCGGGACCGGTTTGGCTCAATGGATAGAGCGTCGGCTTGGGGACTGAAGGGTCCCGGGTTCGATTCCGGTCAGGGGCATGTACCTTGGTTGCGGGCATATCCCCGGTGGGGGGTGTGCAAGAGGCAGCTGATTGATGACTCTCTCTCATCGATGTTTCTAACTCTCTATCTCTCTCCCTTCCTCTCTGTACAAAATCAATAAAATATATTTAAAAAAAAAAAAAAAAAGGAAATAAAAACCTTCCTGGAAACAAATGAGAATGAATACCCAACCACCAAAAATATATGAGACACAGCAAAAGCAGTCCTAAGAGAGAAGTTCATAGCACTATAGGCCTACCTCAAAAAACAAGACAAATTAATAAGAAACTATTTAACCCTATAACTTAAAGAATTAAAGGAAAACAAAAAAAGCCCAGAGTAAGTAGAAGGAAGAAAATAATAGAGAAAAAAAAAAAAAAGAGACAAAAAAAAAAAAAAAAAAAAATCAATGAAACAAAGAGCTGGTTCTTTGAAAAGATAAACAAGATTGATAATCCATTAGCCAGACTCATTAAGAAACAAAGAGAGAGGACCCAAATAAATAAAATCAGAAATGAAAGCGGTAAAGTAACAACTGACACCACAGACATAAATAGGATTGTAAGAAAATTAAATGAACAACTATGCCAACAACCTGGACAATGTGGATGAAATGGACAAATTCCTAGGAAAATACAATCTTCCAAAACTCAATCAGAAAGAATCAGAAAACATAAATAGGCTGGTAAGTACTGATAAAATTAAATCAATAAAGCCCTAGCTGGTTTGGCTCAATGGATAGAATGTTGGCCTGGGGACTGAAGGGTCCCCAGGTTCAATTCTGGCCAAGGGCACATGCCTGGGATGCGGGCTCAATCCTCAGTAGGGGGCGTGCAGGAGGCAGCCAATCATTAATGATTCTCTCTCATTATTGATGTTTCTATCTCTCTCTCCCTCTCTAAAATCAATAAAATGTATTTAAAAAAATTATATCAGTAATAATAATAATAAAAATAATAATAAAGTCTCCCAGCAAACAAAAGCCCTGTTCCCGACAGCTTCACAGGGGAGTTTTACCAAACATTCAAAGAAGAACTAACACCTATTCTTCTCAAACTATTCCAAAAAATTCAAAAGGAAGGAACACTTGCAACTCTTTTTTATGAAGCCAGCATTATCCTAATTTTAAAACCAGATAGAGACACTACAAAGAAAGAAAACTACAGGCCAATATCCCTAATAAACATAGATGCTAAAATCCTCAACAAAATATTAGCAAATTTGATCCAGAAGTATATTAAAAAGATCATATGCCATTGACTAAGTGGGATTTATTCTAGGAATGAAAGGTTGGTACAATATTCACATCAATAAAAGTGGATTTTCTTAAGAACAGTAACTGTGCATGGAGGGATTTGGAGAGTATATGCTAGCGAAATAAACCAGTCAGAGCAAATCAAGTTTCACCTGATCTTACTCCTATGTGGAATCTAATGAACAAAATAAACTAATGAACAAAACAGATCCAGACATAGAAGCTTGGAACAGACTGTGAAATATCAGAGAAAAGGTGGAGGTGGGGGTGGGTGGGAAGAGATCAACCAAAGAATTTATATGCATATATGTATAACCCATGGACACAGACGATAAGGTGGTGAAGGTCTGGGGTGAGGGACAGGGGAGGGCTAGAAGGGGTCAATGGGGGAAAAAGGAGAACAAATGTAATACTTTCAACAATAAAGATTTAACTTTTTAAAAAAGGAAAAGAAAAAAAAAACATGGTACAAATCTAATAATTAAAAAACCATGATAATCCTTTTTATTATGAAAATAGTCACTCCAATTAAGCATAAATTATTTATAAACTTGACTTTCACATCTTTAAATATACATTTTCTGTGGCAGAGAAAAGTACCA